AAGATGTCATGATCTTTTTATTTTTGTAAAGTATATTTTGACCATGTATTTTTATTTCTTAGAATGTAAATGTTTACAGGGTGATCTGGACCGTGTTTCCATGAAGTCTCGAAAGTTTAGGACTCTAGAAAATTCTCACTCTGGAAATTATGCATTGGGAAGTTCTGTTTCTAAGCAGAATGGATTTAGCTATGGGAATGCACTCCAAAATCCATTGGTAGAATCTGCAAATTCTGAATTTCTTTATAAGGTATTCACTCTTGTTTAACTTTGCTAAAAGGTCAGCTTAATTTATGTGTCGGCTTACCATCCAGCATCTTAGAAGAAAATAATGATAAGAAACATGTACCACATGGATGCCACATATGTTTTCTTTAAAATATATGCAAAAAGCTAAATTTTATCTTCTTCTAAGTACTTTGATGCATTCTACATGTAACTTTTCCATCTCACTTTACTTTATAATTATTACTTCGGATGACTTGGTGGTATAATCTGGAACAGTTTATTAAATGTTTTAGGAACAGGGAATCATACTGGACGAAGTCAAATCTCTAAAAGATGTACAGGCTGTTCATCAGGCTGAAATGAAATTGCTGAAGGAACAGCTTGACAAAGAGCGAGCAAATGCATCACTCTTAAAGACCAAGTTGCATGGTGATGATTAGTTATTCCTTTTGTTTTTAATTTACCATAAATTCTTTCTAACACTTTTTAATGTGACTTGAATTTGACCAGAGGAACACCAACTCTACGAAGCTTCTCACCGAGAACTCTGTAATTTAAAAAAAGATATGGAAAAGGTAGGTTCTTATGCTCTGTAAATGGCTAGAATTGCCAGTTTTTTACCCATCTGTTCTTTTACAAACTGATTTTTCAATCAGCTACTGCCTTTTTTTTTTTTGTAAAATTCTCATATTTGTCAACAAGTTGAGTTTGTTTGCCTGGCTGCTTGAATTGCTTTCTCCTTTCTTACTGAATATTGCTGTATCTCTTCTGATTATTGGAACGGATATACGAGTTGTTAACATGATTCTTTATTAATTTTGTTGGCCTTGATCAAGTATATTTTTTCTTTTACCTTTTCCTCCAACTTCTTGTGATATTGTAAGAAGTTATTGGATGGCTTTTTGGGCTCTATGCACAAATTTGTTGTTAAGACATAATATGAGTTGCATTTGAAATTGGCAGCCATTCAGTAGCACACATTGTTCATCACTTTCATTTCAATGTTCTGCCTTTTATACACCTTATCATGTCATTCTTGGAAGCACATATTCACTTTTTATTATTTTGTTCTTTTTGGTATAAGAACTGTGGTGTTTGATTGGCAGATTCCTGAGACAAAAAAATTAGAGGAAGAGCTCAATGGGACTTTGTCAGAATTAAGAAGGCTGCAAGCTGAAGTGAGCAAAAAGGATATAGAAATAGAACAAAATGAATCAGTAGAGAGTTTGAAATCAGCAATGCAGAGACTAGAAAAGGAGAAGTTTGAAGTAACGGTAAATATGTGTTAATTTCTTGGTGATGATTTCTATTGAGCATCCAATAGTGATTAACAAGAAGTTGATTTTAATGTTTTGTGTATTGATTTACTTTTCCTTCTCAATGTTCTAGCTAATGCTTGAATGTTCTCACTACTTTCAATATTCAAAAAGCTTGAGATTCTTTTGTTTTGACTTGTACAGGCAGAGAAGAATGAACTTTTAGAAAAGCTAAATTCTTTTCTGAACAATAATCGAGAAAAGAATGACGCTGATAGCTCAGAATTACTAAATGCAAGCAAAAATGAACCGAATGAGGTAAGCCTACTTCTCATTTATCTGTTAATTTCCCGTTTAGGAATGCTACACCATTTATTACCTTTTGGATACTTCTAATCTTATGTAGGGCTTTCTTATAACAATTTAATGGAAACTCTTTTTAAACTTTTATCCTATTGCTAGAGCGATGTTATTTCTTCTGTCATGTTGTCATCTTCAATTGGCATTCCATGGTTAATGAGTTTGTCCTTTTGTCATGGAGTCCAAATCAGCAGTTTGGAGCATCCAGAACCTTCAGATTATTAGTCCTATACTATTTGTACGAGGCAAAGAAAAAACAAATTGAACTTTGGTCATGATATAATATCCATAACTTTGTAGTGTTAATGTTCTCATTAAATTCTATAAAAAGGAATTGCCAGTTTGGGTGTAAAGTTGTTGGAATTTCTTTTTTGTTAGCGGGACGAATAGATAACCATTCTGTACATCTGCTTTGGTTGGGTTAAATCCATTGATTTTTTTTTTTTGGTTACCGCACTGCATTGATATCAACTTTTATCTACAACTTAATAATATGGTGACGTTCTTCTTTCTATAATTTCTTTTTTTTTAATTGAGTTTATGGTAGTCATTGATTGATTTTTTTCTGTAGCACTTCATTTATATATATTGATGGAGTTCAGTATACTATTGGCTTTGAAGGTAAGGTTGGCATCAAAAGTTAGAGAGTTAGAGGAAACTCTGAAAGAGGCTTGCAAAGAGCGGGATAGAGCTTTGCAGGAATTGTCTCGTTTGAAGCAGCATTTATTGGATAAGGTATTTTTCTCATTTGTTATTCCTCATTTCAAGTTTGTCACTTGCAAGTAATTCGCTCATTAGCTTACGAATGTGGGATTATGCTATTTTTTCTATCAAGGTAAAAGAAAAAAAGAAAAAATATATATTTTTTTTCTCTTTGCAATCTTTTTTTTTTCTCCTTGCAAAGTGACTTTTTTCTCCCCACTGGTCTTTTTATTTTAAACCGGCTTGAAAGACCACCGTAAAATCTTATGATTTGTTGTTTGAAGTCATAGATCTTCCAAACTGTGCAACATGCGGACAGTTACTGGAATCATAATTTTTTTGGGTTATGCAGTTTCATTTTGCATATAGCTGGCTATGCTTATTGAACTGTGAAAAAGCCCAAGGGATGTGCGCTTCAGCCATTAAAAAGCAAATTTTAGTGGATAATTTTGAAAAAAGGAACTTGGTAGTGAAGGTGGACTTGGATAAGTTAACTAAATATAAATTTATGTTTTCAATATTTAATCAATTTTTCTTTTCCCTCAAACTACTTTGAGCTCGTAATTCGATTTTTACCTGTAGGGATCTACCATACTGCCCTTAGAATCATTTCTTGTCAGGTGCAGTACATTATTTTTTAAGCGGATTCATTCGTTCCACTTTAAATGTATTTGATTTACCTTACAGAAAATTCAATTTTAACATTTTAGCTGGAAGACTAGTTGTTTCACACAGGAACCTTCTCAAACACCTGAAATTTGACAAGGTAGCGAGTATGGTCTATAGGCATTAGTCCAGTGATTAGAATTCATCGAGAAAAATAAATAGAGGATGATAACAAATTGTCAAATTTGTGAATCGAGCAGCATAATTTTATTCGTAGAAGAAGGGGTATTTAAATCTAATTACAATAGACACAAATGCACAACAAAAGAAAGAAATAAAACAAAATAAAATAAATATGAAAGGAATAAAAAAATATAAAGTAAAAAAGGTAAGAAGTAATAATCTATTAGACAAGAAATAATAAGTAATAACGGTTAGGTATTTAATTGTTGTTATAAATCTAATACTCCCCCTCAAGTTGAAGTCTAGATGTCAATAATGTTCAAATTGGATTTGAAGTCATCGAACAAAGACCGAGTAAAATTCTTGATAAGGATATCCGCTAGTTGATCAATGAAATGTACAAAAGGTATCCAAATTTTCCCGGACTTAATATTTTTTTAATGAAGTGTTAACAATCTCCACATGTTTGGTATGATTATGTTGGATTGGATTATGAGCAATGTTGATGGTGACCTTATTATCACAGAATAGTGCAGTGGGACGAAGTTCACGGAGCATGATGCGTAACCAGAGGGCTTCATAGATCCCCAAGGCCATTAACCGGAATTCAGCTTTAACACTTATTTAAGTAACCACAGACTCTTTTTTGTTTTTTTTATGTGGCAAGATTTTCTCATACAATTGAGCAATATCTTGAGGTGGAACGTCGGTAATGAACCGACCCGACACAATCAACATCTATTTAAACAATAATTGACCGAGATGTGTGATGAGAGAAGCAAATTTTAGCTCGGTGTACTTTTTAAATAGTGGAGAATCCGATGGACAGTTTAGAGATGGTGCTCATAGGGGTCATGCATGAATTGACTCACTATACTAACTGCATGACTTGTGTCATGTTGAGTATTGACAATGTAGATAGTTTCCTCATAAGACACTGATAGTGAGTCTTATTGACGAGCACAACATTGTGAATGCTAGATAATTTTTCATTGGGATACACGGACAATTATTGTTTTGCACAAAAGAAAGTTCTCTTTCAAGAGGCCAATCACATATTTGCACTGTAATAGACAAATGCCCGAGTTGATCGAGCAACTTCAATGCCTAAGAATTACCGGAGAGATCTCAAATCTTTCATTTCAAAGGACTTAGCAAGAATGTCTTTCAATGACTCCAATGATGGGAGATCATTACCTGTAAAAATAATTTGTCAACATAGACAATAAGGATAGCTACCTTGTCATTGGAGGAATTTCGGAAGAAGAGAGTGTGATCCGATTAAGTCTGAGTAAAACCATGACTCACAACCACCTTCGTGAACTTGTCGAACCAAATCCTAGGGGATTACTTTAGCCATATAGAGATTTTCGCAACTTGCATTTGCCTTTTGGAGGCAATAGGGTCAAGCCAGGAGGAAGAGACGTGTATACCTCTTCTGTAAACTCTCCACTCAAGAACACATTCTTGATATCTTGCTGGAATAGAGGTCAATCCAAATTCATTGCAAGGGACAACAGGACCCGAATAATCTTTAACATTGTCAGTGGAGCAAATGTGTCCTTATTTTTAAGTCCATAAGTATGTAACATTTGGCTACCAATCGTGCCTTGTTGCTTTCTAAGGATCCATCAGAGGTGAATTTGTGCAAAAAATCCACGCTACCCCGCAACTTTCTTACCCTGAGAAAGATCAACGACATCCCAACTATGCTTCCGCTGAAGGGCATTCTTCTCCTTCATTACTGTCGTTTTTCAGGCTGGATCAACAGGAGCAACCTCAATAGTAGCTGGGATATGATGATCCATCAAAGTGGTGGCAAATGCTCTATAGGTCAGTGATAAACTGCGGAAAGAGACATATTTTGTCATATAATAGAAGGAGCATGTCTGATTGCATACTTTACTCGGAGAACACCTCATTTGGAGGGGGTTGCATTGAGGGTATCACCCGGAATGAAGTGAAGGTCCTATAAGGAGGTAGCAGGTTCCATAGTAGTAGCATTGGAACGGGTGTGCATAGTATAGACACGAATAGTGTGAGGAGGAGATGGTGCACTCACCGGATGTTGCACTCTTTTGGAGAAGGGACTCTTCAGTAGCGAGAACAATGGGGGGAACTTCCATAAGTGTAGGATAACATATAATGTCTGAAAATCTAAACAACCCCTCACTTGGAGCCGATCTAGGAAAATAAGTAACATTTTCAAAGAAGGAGACATCAGCACTCACATGAATTTTGTTAGTGATAGGATCAAAACACTGATACCCTTTTTGAGTGGCGCAGTACCTAAGGTAGATACATTTTATGGATTTGAGATCAAGTTTACTCCAATTGGGGGCAGTATTCTGTACATGAGCTATGGTTCTGTACATGAGCTATGGTGGACGATGTCTTTACTCATCAAGAATTCACCCAAAATAAAGTTGAAATTTCATGACCAGTCCGATCCAAAGGACTAGAGTAGGAGTTTTGAATTGAGTTAAAACAAAAATATGAAAGTTTTTGAAACATCACAACTTCTAATCACCTTTTATTGATGAAGGTAGTTAATTGTGAATGAGGGAGAAATTAGCGGAAGGAGTGTAAGTGTGGGATATGTAATGAACACAATGATGTTTGACTAACTGACATGTCTCACAATGAAAACTAAAAGGGTTTTTATTAGAAAACATCAAAGGACAATTTTTTTAAATATTGAAAATTAGGATAACTTAAATGACAATGCAATAACCTAATTGGTCATTCAATAACTCAAGATAAGCTACAACTCTTGAGAGATGTGTCTGTATTTTCTATGCTCTTCTTTTAGAAGTACTAGAGTTTAGCTACCCTCTTAGCAGTTTTAATCATCCCTCGAATGACGATCCTAAAAAATACAACCATCATAAGATAAATTAACAACACAATCATTATCATTCGTTAACCTGCTGATAGATAACAAGTTATATTGTAACTGGCTAACATGTAAAACAAACTCCAGAGTTAGATCAGGTGTTGGTACAACCAACACTTCGCCAGCAATGAAACTTTAGAAGCCATCAACAATTTTGACGGTATCTTTTTTAGAGCACAAATAATAAGTCAAGAAAACTTGCTTGATTTATGATATCTGAATCAATAATTCACGGACTAGAGGACAAATAAATCGTGGAAGTCATAGAAAGAGTACCTTTTTGGACGTGATAGGTCAACGGACCTGTAGAGACTTGATGTGCTCTAAGAAGCTTGATTAATTGCTCTATTTGGTTTTTTCAGGGATTCAAAGGATTCTGGGATGTTTCAGGGATTTGGTTGATCTGTGGTAAGCTCGGCCGTCGCCGTGAGAGCCTTGCTAGTAGATGATTTGACCGAAGGTTTGTAAGCCGGCTTACCGTGAAGTTTCCAACACTTTTTCCGAGTGTGGTTGAATGTATCACAGTAATCACAAGTGGGGTGACTGGTTCGAGGTACAATGAACGAGGAGTGGGTACTATCTGAGATCAAGACGGGCAATTCGGCTGAAGGGGTAGAAGGGCTGAGGATGACAAGTCACCTTCTTTCTTCCCAACGAATCTCAGTGATAGTGGCTTGAGCAGAAGGAAGAGGATTAGGCTCCATAATTCTGACTAAGTCGAAGGAGATAATGTTGAGATTCCGAGATATCGATGAAATCCGGTAGGATCACGGGAGATGGATACTACTACATGAATCTGGACACCTGCAGTGAAGGTTGTCACTGGAAACAGACTGCAAGAAGGCCGGCGGTATGCTTTCTGGAACCTGCGGCCGAACAGAGGAACCTGCAGCTGGAATAGAGGAATTCTGCAGCTGCTGGAAATGGCACAGAAAAAATAGAGGCCTTTAAACCCAACGTTGGCAAAATGTTGATAGAGGCAGGTTCGGGTTAGCTGCATCCCGATTACCCGCTGTGGAGCCAGAGCTGAGGGTAGCTAATAGCTACAGGACGCTATGTTAGACGGTCCGTCTGTTGATTGAGGGATATGGAGGGAAGATAGACTACGAGACTCTTGAAGTCGTCCTCACCACGGTCCAAGCCTACCCTGCCGAGGATCCCACGAGGGTAGTACCCTCGATCTGCAATCCCAAAGCATCGCCCAATGTCAACTGTAGGCAATCTGCTCTCAAGTGGCTACATGTGATGAAGAAGAAACGGGACTTCAGTAAGGATCTGTCAACTGTAGGCAATCTGCTCTCAAGTGGCTACACGATGTGATGAAGAAGAAACGGGACTTCAGTAAGGATCAGCAGTAGCGGCAGGGATCACCAGCTGTAAGATCAGCGACACTTCTAGATATTGCAGGTAGTTCAGGGAGGCCTTGCGTCTGAGAAAAACAGCAGCACCATGGCCTGATGATGGTTGAAGGCAGGAATTTTGTAGGAGAATACCTGCAGATGGCTGGCGGTTCGGGTGGAAACTCTAGTGTTAGAGCCAGGGCTCTAATACCGTGTCAAATTTGTGACTTTAGCAGTATTATTTTATCAATAGAAGAAGGGGTATTTAAATCCGATTATAATAGACACAACAAATGAAAGAAATAAACTGAATAAATTAAATAGGAAAGGAAAAAAACATAAGAAAGTAAAAAGGGCAATAAATAATAAGCTAAAAGGCAACAAATAATAAGTATAATGGCCAGGGATTTAATTGTTTTTATAAATCTAATACAAATCATTAGGGGTAACAGCAATTCAGTTTTCAGATTCAGAAGCACTCAAACAAGTTTGGAAGGTAAGTGCAGAGCAAGTGAGTTTTCTTGCTCAAATCTTGCACAAAACTAGACAATTACTTGCGCCATGTCATTGATTCAATCCTTCACCTCATAAAAAGTTAAGGTAACGAAAGTATTATGGAGACAAAACAAGATTGCTCTAATTTAGTATTTGCAAACTTGATGCCAAGCCATAAAAATTTTTAGAACTAACCACAAAAATATAGAAAAATTTAGTGAAGAATAAAATCTTGAACAAAAAACATAAAGCATTCTAGCAAGAAAACACTACAAAAAGCTGAACTAGGGAAGGCTTTGAACACTGAATTTTTTTTGGAAGTTTGGTGCAAAGTAAAGCCTTGAAAAATTTGAAGGAGAGTTTGTGAATGAGAATGCAAATGAGCATCGTATGACTGATCAAAATGAGAAGGTAAGTGGTTAGGACAAGGGGGGTTGAGGGACTATTTTTCCCAAAAACTTACGTGAATAAAATGAATCAAGCTTGTTAATCTTCTAGAAATGCAAGGAATCTATGTGAGCATTTAGAAAAACAAGGAAGTTTGATACCTCTCTTTCGACTTACTTTGAAGATACAATATGAATATTTTAATAAAACTTGATAGTTTTTTAATTATTGGTTATTTTAGAGCTAGGGGTTATTATATGTATAAATCTATTTAAAATATGTTTTATAAAGATGTATTATAAAATAAAATAAATATACACGCCATCTTGTATTATGCAATTGTGAATGCATATATATACATTATGTTTGTGTGTGTGTGTGTGTGTTTGCTGCGTACTCCGGCTTGTTGGTTGGCATCCTCAGTATAAGACCCCTCAGGTTTTGCTGCGCACTCCGGCTTGTTGGTTGGCATCTTCAGTATAAGACCCCTCAGGTTAGAGGTTCGAATCCCCTCTGGCGACATGAGCCTTAAGGAGGTAGTACACGAATTGTTAGGCACATTAAGAGTGGCCTCTGGCCATTTCTTTATATGTATATATATATTAGCACACTTTAATCACTTAAACATGTGCATGTCATATATGGAGTCAATTTTAAATTAAACTAAGCTTATTATGGGCCAGAGTAAGAGCATCAGTTAGATTTTGACTTTAATAAAATTTGAGCGGTTATTGTATTAGTTTGAAGTTTTGAACATAATTACTAGCACTACTACTAGTCATAAGTCTTTGATGAATTTACCTAATTAAAATCTTCTACAAACCATAGATTTCACGTTCAATTGTCAAGGGAGATGTTGCAGGGAATCAGGTTCCGTTAGAAGTTCATGTACTTGACAACTTGAATGGGGTAGACAAAGATAAAAAATCTTATAAAATTAGATATTAGATTACTACATTCGATGTGTATTGTTTGGTTTGACTATTCATGTTTATGTAACTTGATTGATGCATTTATGCGTTGTTTTAGAGGGAGCCCTTGGGGGTTTGGGCTGTTTGTATAATTCAAGTTTGTTTGAACTTGACTTTCCAATGCATGGAGATCCATAATGGCTATTTTTAAATGGAACTATTTTTTGACCTGTGTATAGTTGACCAAGTCTTATGCAAGAAATGGGTCGAGCTGGTCAATATGGTTGATTTTTACGTCAAGCTTTTAAGTAAAGTTTAACTCAAACAACACATAAGAACTATTCTATAAATTTAAGCAACCCAACAAAGTTAGAAAATTAAGCTTGATGTAGCGCTTCGGGGAAATTTGGAATGCAACATGGCATGCTTTGATAACACTTCATTGTTTGCGAATGGATTAGTTTTGAAGCACTAAAGTGTTTGTACTTATGAAAACAGACTGAGGACTCAGCAACATATAATTATGTGATGTATTAATTTCATTGATTTCATTTTTCATTATAGATGATGCTTGTTGCTAATAGGAATAATGAAAGTTTGTCTTACAAGCAGAAAAATCATCTAGAGCAGATTAAATTAAAATGTATGATTTATGAGAAGGGGATGGGAGAGAGGGCAGTGGCTAATGTTCACCTTATCTCAGCCACTGTCTGCATGATGCTGCTGATTGTGTAGCCTCAGGAATTTGTTTGTCCTCTGTTTAGGACTCGGTTTGCAAAGAACTACAAAAAGTTTGAATGTAAATAAACAGCTTCAGACCTTTTCTTCCTAGATAATTTTTACTTGGGAAATTTACATACATACCACAATTCTTCTATATTTACTTATCAAAATATATATTTACATGCATGCCACTCAAATCCTTAACGTCGCACAAAAATTATATATGCATGCCACTCAAATCCTTAACGTCGCACAAAAAATACCAATGGTATTATTTGTGTAAATATCGAACTTTTGGGAGTTAGATATTTAAATGCATAAGAATTGTGGTATGTATTTAAATTTCCCTTATTTTTGCTATACACCATACATTGCCTTGGTTAGTCCACAATAATACCTTAATGCATTTACTTGAGTGATTCATATGATTGTCACTTGATCGCCATATGATCTTGCATGAAGTATAAAAAAACTTCATTCAAGACATGCTCTTCAAAAAAAATAAAAAAATAAAAAAAAAAGGAAAAGAAAGAGGTAGTATTATGTTAAATTATATAATATTTCCTTTCCAACCAATCAAAAGGTTGCCAATTATCATCATCGCCATTCTTTTTCCTGCTCCATTACTTGAATGGGTTGGTACGAACACTAGTGGCCTTTATATAAATTTGTATTAAATTTGTCGGTCCAGAAATTTTATTTTGGGGCAGTTACATAGATACTATTCAATTCCTATAAATTTACATATCTAACACTTAAAACTTTACTTTTTACATATATACTGCTCAAATCTTTCATTTCACAAAAAAATACAACTATTTTAACTTTCAAAAACTAAAATATACTTTTTCATGCATAGGCAAGGTGGCATGTATGTAAAAATTGAAGTTTTTGTGTTAGATATGTAAATAAATAGGAATTGAGTGGTATGGTGTGTATGTAAATCTTCCTTTTATTTTGTTGAATATTTCAACCGCAATCTATCAAGAATGCATCCTTATGCTTTCTGCATTTTAAGGGAAGTTTTTCTCTTCGAACATTCTGCAGTCAAATTGAAGATGGTTTCTTCTACTACGATATTGTATTAGGAACTTGAAGATGAGGACAAGATGGATGAGGACTGCAAGCTGATTGAAGAGCTGAAGACATTGACAGACTATCAAAGGTCTCAAATTTCGCAACTGGAGAATTCTTTGCTGCAGGAAAGAATGAAGACGGAGGAGTTGATGAAGCTAAAAAGTGATGAAATTCATCAGTCAAATGAAACCAACAACGAGTTGAAGCAAAAACTTGCTAATTTTATGAGCATAATTGATGCAAAGAATGTTGAACTCCAAAATCTTCAGACTGCCTTGGGACAATACTATGCTGAAATTGAAGCTAAGGTTAGATTCAATATCAATCACTTTTTGCTTGAATTTCAGGAGTATATTAGAAGTCTGAAAAGAAGAGATTTTCAACGGAACTTGGAATTCAGTTACTAATTTTCCATCTTTGACCACTTAAAAATTGTAGGAGCGCCTCGGAAGAGAATTGACCACAGCGAGAGAGGAATCGGGAAAATATAAAGAATTACTGAATGTAAGGATATGTTTCTTCTTATTATGCTATAACAACATTATTTATGCATAATATCATACTTTTCTTTAAAAAATGGCATTAATTTTTTATTCAGTATCTAAAACTGTTCATAGGAATTAGTTATCGTTGTATAATTTTGGAATAGCAATATTGTTATGGAAATTGTGCTTGGAAATGGTTTTAGTTTGATATTGAATGGTTTATTATAATTTTAAGGAATATTTCGGGCTATCATACTTGTAGCATGTTCAAGGAAACTCCCCATTTTTCTACGTTGTTATTAATTGTTATTGCACTAAACATGTACTTTTCTTTTGTTTAATTTTAGTAGAGGTGCAAACGAGTCGAGTCAAGATTGAGCCATCTTTGGATTGAGCTTGACCTTGCTTAATTTTATCGAGTTCGAGTTCGAGTCTATGAGTTCGAGCTGGCTCACAAGTCGGCCTCTTTATTATAAAAGAAAGAAAATAATATTAATTTAAGGTAGTGTTAAAATAAAATGATAAATAGAATGAGCAACTATGGTAGAAATAATAAGAAATCACTTAATATAAAATACAAAATATTATTTCTCTTAACATTTTTAATATTTTAATGAGAAAATCTTCAAATTTTATATATTTTGAGTATATTTTATATTAATATTTTTTTTTAAACGAGCCGGCTCACTGGCTAACGAGTCAAGTCGGCACTAGCTTGAGCTTGGCTTTTTAGCCCATTGAGTTCAATTCATGTGCCACTTATCGAGTCGGCTCATGAGTCTGGTTGACTTACTTCCGCTCCTATATTATGGCATGTGTTGTCTAGAATGCCATAAAAGGTCCGCCATATGATCTTGCATGATGTATAAAAAAACTTCATTCAAGACATACTCTGCAAAAAAAAAAAAAAAAAAAAAAGAAGAAAAAAAAGGAATAGATGTATTATTATTTTAAATAAATGCAAATGCAGTTAGCTGCATGGAGTTTCTCTGTTTCAGAAAAATTTGAGTGTTCTTTATATAATATTTCCTTTCCAACCAATCAAAAGGTTGCCAATCATCATCATCGCCATTCTTTTTCCTGCTCCATTACTTGAATGGGTTGGTACGAACACTAGTGGCCTTTATATAAATTTGTATTAAATTTGTCGGTCCAGAAATTTTATTTTGGGGCAGTTACTTAGGTACTATTCAATTCCTATAAATTTACATATCTAACACTTAAAACTTTACTTTTTACATATATACTGCTCAAAGCTTTCATTTCACATAAAAAATACAACTACTTTTAACTTTCAAAAACTAAAATATACTTTTTCAAGCATAGGCAAGGTGGCATGTATGTAAAAATTGAAGTTTTGGTGTTAGATATGTAAATAAATAGGAATTGAGTAGTATGGTATGTATGTAAATCTTCCTTTTATTTTGAATATTTCAACCGCAATCTATCAAGAATGCATCCTTATGCTTTCTGCATTTTAAGGGAAGTTTTTCTCTTCGAACATTCTGCAGTCAAATTGAAGATGGTTTCTTCTACTACGATATTGTATTAGGAACTTGAAGATGAGGACAAGATGGATGAGGACTGCAAGCTGATTGAAGAGCTGAAGACATTGACAGACTATCAAAGGTCTCAAATTTCGCAACTGGAGAATTCTTTGCTGCAGGAAAGAATGAAGACGGAGGAGTTGATGAAGCTAAAAAGTGATGAAATTCATCAGTCAAATGAAACCAACAACGAGTTGAAGCAAAAACTTGCTAATTTTATGAGCATAATTGATGCAAAGAATGTTGAACTCCAAAATCTTCAGACTGCCTTGGGACAATACTATGCTGAAATTGAAGCTAAGGTTAGATTCAATATCAATCACTTTTTGCTTGAATTTCAGGAGTATATTAGAAGTCTGAAAAGAAGAGATTTTCAACGGAACTTGGAATTCAGTTACTAATTTTCTATCTTTGGCCACTCAAAAATTGTAGGAGCGCCTTGGAAGAGAATTGGCCACAGCGAGAGAGGAATCGGCAAAATATAAAGATTTACTGAATGTAAGGATATGTTTCTTCTTATTATGTTATAACAACATTATTTATGCATAATATCATACTTTTCTTTAAAAAATGGCATTAATTTTTTATTCAGTATCTAAAACTGTTCATAGGAATTAGTTATCGTTGTATAATTTTGGAATAGCAATATTGTTATGGAAATTGTGCTTGGAAATGGTTTTAGTTTGATATTGAATGGTTTATTATAATTTTAAGGAATATTTCGGGCTATCATACTTGTAGCATGTTCAAGGAAACTCCCCATTTTTCTACGTTGTTATTAATTGTTATTGCACTAAACATGTACTTTTCTTTTGTTTAATTTTAGTAGAGGTGCAAACGAGTCGAGTCAAGATTGAGCCATCTTCGGCTTGAGCTTGACCTTGCTTAATTTTATTGAGTTCGAGTTGAAGTCTATGAGTTCGAGTTGGCTCACAAATCGGCCTCTTTATTATAAAAGAAAATAATATTAATTTAAGGTAGTGTTAAAATAAAATGATAAATAGAATGAGCAAATATGGGAGAAATAATAAGAAATCACTTAATTTAAAATACAAAATATTATTTCTCTTAACATTTTTAATCTCTTAACATTTTTAATATTTTAATGAGAAAATCTTCAAATTTTATATATTTTGAGTATATTTTATATTAATATTTTTTAAAAACGAGCCGGCTCACTAGCTAACGAGTCAAGTCAGCACTAGCTTGAGCTTGGCTTGTTAGCTCATTGAGTTCAATTCATGAGCCACGTATCGAGTCGGCTCACGAGTCTGGTGACTTACTTCCACTCCTAGATTATGGCATGTGTTGTCTAGAATGCCATAAAAGGTTGCTTTCCTCACTCTTAGTTTTCCTTGAAAAAGCACCAATAGTATGGCACTGGTAATCAAATATCTGGATTATTCACTAGCCATACTGCCATTTAACAAAATCATATGAGAGCCTTATTGATGAAACATTTTCTTTTAACTTGCTATGACTATGATGCACGAACTCACATGCATGCTAACATACACGAATCTTGAAGGTTAATTCTTTTAACAATTTTAGGGCTTTTTTAGACGGTCATTAATTGATGGAAGATTTGGAATATTTTTGTTATTATGTTACATGCTAAGATAACGATTTTCTTAACAGAGTTCCTTTACAGTCCCTTTAGTAAATTTTCTGCATTCTATTTGTCTTTAACATCTTTCATATTTTCTTTAACTGAGTTCCTTTACAGTCCCTTTAGTAAATTGCATTCTATTTGTCTTTAACATCTTTCATATTTTCCATGATGGTTCTAACTATTTAGCCAAATGGATTTGTTTTGCGGTTTTCCAAATAGTTTTTCGTTAAAATTTATGTGATTATGAGGTTTTGCATAAGTTTTGGAATTTTTTTAATTAATGTGTTTTTTACATGTTATAATTTTATTTTCTAAAAACAAATTAACATGTCCTTGAAAACACTTAAAAACAACTTTTAGGTTTTTGAATGTTTTAAATCAAATATGCCAAATTTTTTTGTTTCAAATCAAAACATAAAAAAATAAAAATAGATAAAAAAATAGAAAATATAAAGCAAAGTGATCCCAAACAAGCCCCAAGAAAAGTTTTCCTACAAAAAAAAAGATAAAATAATAAAAAATAAATAGAGCACTTCATAAAGATATTGTACAGTATTATTCAATATGTGAAAATTATTTGATACTTATGGTGCTTGATGTTATATATTGAACATGAAATCATTTTATATTTATGAAGTTTAATGTTATGCATAAATTCTTGAGAAAAATTATAGGTTATTAGCACTTTAATATATGCTAAACCATTAACTATTTTATCTTGCATATGATGCATTTCAACAACATCATCTCATGGAATCAACGGTAACATGTGGTTTGAAATTATTGTTCTTAAACGTATTGATGCATAAATGTTAAGCATCACATTACAAGCTTTATAAGATTGTTTTATAAAATAAATTCAGAATACATTAACACTTTAAAATTTAAAATAGTTTTTCTATCACTTGTAGAACTAGTATATCATATATATTTTTCTTGCAGTCCTTTATTTCTCTTATATTGCTTCTTTCAATTTTAAATTGAAAACATTGTAAATTTTAAATTTAAATTTGTAAAACATCCAAAATTGACATCAGCCCCACCCAAAAAAAAAAAAAAGGTTATAAACCTTGCATTGCATTGTTTTTCATGGATATTCAAATCTCTAAAACCCACAAATATCTTACTGGTTTTGAATTAGCTTTGACCTGCTAAACATGATGCATTTTATTTTTTGTATATAATTTTTTGGAAATAATGTTTAGATCACAATTCTATTAAATATTTTCCCTATAGGTCGCCAACCAGTCTCTGGAAATATCTAAAAGAGAAAATGAAGAAGTTAATGCTAGACTTTATCAAACCGAAAGAATGTTATCAGAAAGCAAGAGTTCCCTACATAAGCTAGAGGAAGACAACTCGAAACTACGCCATGCACTGGAGCGAAGCATGACAACATTAAATAGGATGTCACTAGATTCGGATAATTATGTAGACAGGTGATTTCCTTTTTTTAAAAAAATTGGGAAATTTCTATACATACCATCCAGTTCTTACATATTTGCATATCTAACACCCAAGGTTTGATATTTACATTTATAGCACCTTGATGTCATGAACCTATGCATGAAAAGGTGTATTTCACTTTTAAAGAAACTAGTGATGTGGTGTTTTTGATGTGATGTTAAAAATTTGAGTGGTATACATGTAAATTTTTAAAAGTAAAATACCAGGATCACTATTCTTTCAGTTTGATAAAGTCTAGCATCCATATTGTAAACACTCAATTCTCTTCTATTTACATATCTAACACCTAAACTTTAATTTTTACATGCATGCCGCCTTTTACCTTTGTATGAAAAGATGCATTTCACTTTCTAAAATTAAAATGATGATAGTTTTGATGTGATGTGAATGACATATCTAACACCTAAACTTTAATTTTCACATGCATGCCACATTTTACCTTTGTATGAAAAGATGCATTTCACTTTCTAAAATTAAAATGATGGTAGTTTTGATGTGATGTGAATGATTTGGGTGATATAAATGTTAGATATGTAAATGCATAGGAATTGAGTGGTATGTATGTGAATGCCCCAAGTTTCCAGTAGAATTGAAGCAATCTATATGATATTCTGATTTTTTTTTTTTTTTTTTTTTTTTTTTATTGTGTTTGCATTGTGATTAAATTGCTGGTGACATATTTTCAGAGAAATCATAGTAAAGAGGTATCCTTGCCAGCCACTCCTCTCTTTTCCATGATTTTGCAATGCCTCGTTAGATTTTCATGGCTAACTTACTAAAGCTGGGTGTTTACAGGTTCTTGATCTTATGGTTCGCATGCTGGGTTTTTCTGAGGAAGACAAACAGAGGATAGGTTTTGCTCAGCATTCTGCAGGTAAAGGTGTTGTTCGAGGCGTGTTGGGTTTGCCGGGCCGTCTTGTCGGAGGAATTTTAGGCGGAAGCACCGGGGCAGCATCGTCGAGCACTTCTGAAAATCAGGTTAGACCTCAGAGTTTCACCCTTTTGTGCACCTTTCGTCGTATTTATGTCTCCGTTTAAATTCAGACTGGGTGTCATTTACCATAAAACTTGAATTCATTTTCCATTTTATTTTAGCAATTATAGAAAAGATTGTTTTTGAATCACTCGTCTTTGTCTCTAATCACAAAGTCTTAAGTTTAAGGCAGGCCAACATATCTGGATATGAGTTTAAAAAAAAAAAAAAAGGGAGCCATTTACATACATACCACACAATTCTTATATGATTACATATCATCGTAGTCTCACAATCCTTCTATTTTACCAGTCCTTTGCAGATCTATGGGTTGATTTTCTTCTCAAAGAATCAGAAGAAAGAGAAAGAGGCGGTGCAGACACTTCCAGTTCTCAGGTTCCAAATTCTGCTTCTGTAGTACAGTACGAGCCTTCTGCACATCTTGACGCCGAGTTCTCTACTGTTCCCCTGACCGGGACTTCCGCAGCACCAATTCCTAAGAGGTCTCCACCCGTGGGGTCACAGAGGTACTAAATGATGGTAAATTTTAATATGATCATGTAGATAAAATCATGGCAGGAATACCGGTTGAAAGTTTGTTCTTCTTTTTTTATTGATTTTGGCTGTATTCTTTCTCACTTGAAATAATAAGATTGTTTCTGTCAAAATTTATGGTTTGATGCTAATTGAAAGAATGATGATAAAAGAAGAGAAAAATCGCAAACATTAATCTAAGTCATTTACATGTATTGGCCAGTATTAAAAACGGTAGAGCTCACTTGACACGTGACGCCTCATCATTGAACTCCGAATGTATCAGTCCTGATGTAATATTTTTCCTTCAGTAAAAATGGTGGAATGCATGTAAATTTTGTATTTTTACCAACATAAATCAAATCCAATTGAAAAGATAATGATGAGAGCGGAGGTGGAGAGCTTCTGAGAGGAAGTGGGAATAGAGGAGAGGTTTTTCTGCAACTGGATGAGAAATAATAATGTGAGGAAGTTTGAGACAAGTTTTCATGATAAATTTACATATATGCACTTTATAACACCTAAACTTTTATATTTAGATCCATAACACTCAAAGCCTTGACGTCGCATTAAAAAGACTGTCATCGTTATCTTTTTAATTGTGCAATACATATTTTAATGCACAAGTATATGACATTAATGTGTTAATAAGTGTGGATGTGAGAGTTTGGGTGTTAGATATGTAACATCGCATTAAAAAGACTGTCATCGTTATCTATTTAATTGTGGAATGCATATTTTAATGCATAAGTATATGATATTAAGGTGTTAGTAAGTGTGGATGTGAGAGTTTGGGTGTTAGATATGTAAATACCTAAAAACTGTGTGGTAAGTATGCAAATTTTCAAGCTTAATCTGACTGCCACTTGACTATGAGCTTGTAGAGTTAGCTTGATAAACTCGAGCTTGAGTTTTGTGTTGTTTGAGCTCTACTCGGCTCCTTTACTCTCCTTCCTCAAGGATCATGATTCGGTGCATATATCAGTTTGGTTCTATTTTCCTAAGTAATTATACATTCAACTCACAAAATTAATATGTAAATTTAGAACTATAATTATAAATTCCTCATACGAAAATACAAAATAAAGTCAGCACAATTAAGAAAATCAAATAAAATTAATGCGATTAAAATAGCCTTGATTTTACATGCACAACTATAAATTTCTTCATATTTAATTTAGTTTATATTATAAAATATAAAATGAATGTTCTCATGCATCACTATTTGACATCATGATATTAAATTACACTTGTATGCTACTTATTTCTAATGATTAGCACTAATAAAAGTCATTGGCAAATAATGATTAGCACTAATAAAAGTCATTACTAAAATAACACTATATTTACATATTTAAGGCCTAAAATCTTATTTTTAAATGTCACATAAACTATGCTTTAAAAGGCTTACTTCCCTTCTTAGAAATTAAAATGATGGTATTTTTTATGCAATATGAAAGATTTGGCTGATATAAATGCTTAAAATAACATAAGAATTGTATGTCATGTATGTAAATGAGCCATAAATAAATATATATATACAAGAACCATACAACTTCAAACATTTTAAAAAGCCATTTTCCTGCATACGCCACCCAATTCCTAACTATTTACATGCTTTTAACACCTAAACTCCAATTTCTATACTAATAACAGACAAATCTTTCACATCACATCAAATCAAAAATATCAGGATGGCATAAATAAACAAATAAACACATACTACCTACATATAACTTCAAATATTTTGAAAAAACGTTTACATGCACACCCCCCAATTCCAATCTATTTACATACTCGAGAACCTAAACTTTCACCATTTCAACTTTCAACAAATGAAATACACCTTTCCATGCACATAAACTTCACCTTCTAATAGGTAATGCATGTAAATCTTCCTATTTTAAATGCTTGCATAAACAACCAAACTGAAAAAAAAAAGGAAAGACATCAAACCTTCTTATTCATATTATTCCATATTATCAAAACATACAAACCAGCTCCCACACCACGACAAAATGGCAACAAAACCAGTACAAAGGAACATATTACAAAATTCAAATTTTTGTCAGATAATTGTCCTCTATTACTCCAAAAACACATTGTAGGCACTTCTCCATTAAAATCATTCTCCCAAAAACACCTTCTTTGGCGCCCATCTTTCTCTGCGCAGCTTCAAATTATTGAAACAGATATTATAAGCATTTAGTGTATTTCAGTAAGTCCAATCTTGAGGCAAACCCATGTCTGATGAAGGAAGCAGCTTCGCCTCTTGTTCCCCCAACGCTGGATTCCTCGTTGATTCCTGGATCTGAACTTTTCCTTTCGAACCAGCTGGAAAAATATATGTTTTTTTTTATATTTATATAACTTCTGAAGTTAAAAAAATGTAAGCTTTGCAAGAAACAGCAAAGATAATTATCATTAACTGGAAAAGATGAGTGTTTCTCTGTAAGAAAAATAAGAAGTATTGTTAACTGTACAACTTTGTCTCTTCATAAACCTTCAGAAAGTTAAGAAAAATGCAATCTTTTGAAGAAACAGCTAAGATAACTATCGTTAAGTGGAAAAAAAATAAATGTTTATCTGTATAAAGCTTCTGATACCGAGGAAAATGTAATTTTTGAAAAAAAAAATACAGCAAACATAAGGATAGTTAGCTGAAAAAATTCTTTTCTCTTTATAAACCTTCTGAAAGTTGAAAAAAATGCAATCTTTCGAAGAAACAGCAGAGATAACTAATATATAAAATAATTATGAAACCAAGAGCAAATATAAGCATCGTTAAATGGAATAAGACATTTTTTTCTGTTTATAAACCTTCTGAAAGTAAAGAAAAATCCAATCTTTAGAAGAAACATCCGAGATAACTATCGTTAATTAGAAAAAAAAATGAGTTTTTTATCCTTATAAAGCTTCTGAAAGTTGAAAAAAATGTAATCTTTAAAAGAAAGAGCAAACTATTAATTACTTGCGGCAAATTACAAAAAAAAACAAAATCTATGGAGCAACAGACAGTTGAACGGAAAACAACTCACAAAATTTCTTCTTGGAGTCGATTCTGTGAACTCGGGGGAGAAAAACACCGGTCCCGCTACTTTTCCGAACCGTGCCGGCAGACCGGATGGGTAAAAGTCGGTTGGATTCATGGTCATGCACCATCCGTTGCCTCTGCAAAACCCTAGCAGCAGCACTCGCCATCTTAAACCTTTCAAGCTGCAATAAGAAGGCCGAAAATATTAATCATTCAAATAGAAACAGAGCATTAATGGTTAAAAAAATCAAATATTGCAACCCATACATAGAAATCGACCGGTAATGACGGATAATACTTATAAACGTTTTTTGAAACAGCAACAAAAGGACCGATGCGTTCACCGACGACTCCGCCGCCGCCGCCGGCGACTCTTCGCCGGAAAGGAGGTTTAAAACCGGCGTTCATTGGTGATAACAAAGAGGTTGGCTTTCCCTGTCCCTGAAACTAAACCTAGATAGAAAAAAAACATGGAAAAAAAAGAGAACAGAGTTTAAAAACAGAGGTTTGCAGAAATACCTCCGGGTAAAAAGGTAAACCTTTTAAGGGTTTAACGGTCGGATGTGCTCGCTGGTGATCGAGGATGTTGAAAGATGCAAGCTTTTGCGAGAGGTCGTCCATGGAGGCGATGCGGTGGTCGAGGAGGTCGAAAGATGCGAGCTTTTGAGCGAGGTCGTCCATGGCCGCGAGGCGATCCCTGTTAAAGGCGGACGGAAGCCATTGTTGGCCGTCGGAGACGTGAGGAGGTAAATTCTCCGCCATGAGGATGCCGGCGAGTGGTGTGGGTGTAGAGATGAAGGGAAGAGAACAGCCGCCGAGGCGTGATTTGAAATACGAGCGGGGTGGGACCAAGGACGGGGAACCGTAGGGTTAATGGGGTAAAAGAGAGAATTGAAGGGTGATTTTGTAATTTCGAGAGGTTTATTTCCTAAAATATTTCTATTCAAATTTATCGAAATTTTTTCCCGGGTTCCGAACACAAATGATTTCAAAATCTAACATAAAATTATATTACATCACGACTTTTGTTATAATAATCCATCAGGACTCTAATCATTGTCTATCACATGCAGAGTCTAAGCCCCCTTAAAAATAATAAAATAAAATAATTTAATATACGGTGAGTCGGTAATGTTCGCATGATAAACATTAAATGAAATCCTAATATATTTTTGTATCAAGACTCCTACTCCTGATGTAATATTTTTTTCTCAAACCAGAGCCGATTTGTCGGTTCATTGGTCGAACCGTTGGTTTAACCCTAAACTCGAGGTAGACCAATGGCATGCAAGGATATAATTTCTTGAGTGAAATGTACCTCCAATTATAGTGGATTTTTATAATATTATTTTTTTTTTCAATTTAATTTATTTTGTTAAGGAATAAAAAATAAAAGGTGTAGGGCTCAATGCTCTTCGATAAATGAGTAAATTAGTAATCCCTTGGGTGCATTTCAACAATTTTCAATCAGGTTAAAGTCCTCGCATAAAAAATTAAATTATTTTTACAAAATATTATATATATATATA